AGTTTTCTGGTGGTTTATTGGAGATAAAAGTCTCATGGACTTTCCTGCCTGGGCTGGCTTTGAACTGAGATCCTCAGATCTCGGCCTCCTGAGTAGCTAAGATTACAGGTGTGAGCTACTGGCACTCAGCTTCTTTCAGGGTTTTATAAGTAGAGAAAATATAAATTGTGTGAACAAAAGGATTGAGAAAAATTGCTAGGCATCAGTGGCTCATGCCTGTAATCCTAAATTCTCAGGAGTCTGGGAGGCTCAAATCTGAGGATCATGGTTCAAAGCCAGCCTGGGCAGGAAAGTCCATGAGACTCTTATCTCCAGTAAACCACCAGAAAACTAGAAGTGGCACTGTGGCTCAAATGGTAGAGTGCTAGCTTTGAGCTGAAGAGTTTAGGGATAGCACCCAGGCCCAGAGTTCAAGCCCTGTGACTGACAAAAGAAAAAAATATTGAGAAAAATAATAAAAACATGGCTGAGGGCAAAGCCATTTGGTGAGAAATAGCTAGGATGGAGTAGGGTGAAATTTTATCTGGGTTCAGGTAAATCTGGGTTAGAATATTGTCTCAGCTCCCAGTTAGCTGCTTAACTTTGGGCAAGTTACAGTTATGGGGGTGTTTTTGTTTATTTGGTTGGTTGGTTTGCTTTCCCATCTTCAATATAGAACACCTGCAAATAGCTAATGTTTCTGACAACATCGAGAAAAGCATTTAATAAAGTCCTTGAAAGAGTCACTGTTTGGAGGTATATATTTAAAGAAATTCTGAGCCGGGTGCTGGTGACTCACTCCTGTAATCGTAGCAACTCAGGAGGCTGAGATCTCAGGACTGCAGTTCAGCTGCAGTTCAAAGCCAGCTGGGGTAGGAAAATTTGTGAGACTTTTATCACCAGAAAACCACCAGCACTATGGCTTAAAGTAGTAGAGTGCTAGCCTTGAGAAAAACCTCAGGAACAGCACCAAAGGGAAAAAAAAGATATACCATGTAAAGTAAGAAACCTGGTAAGATTCTTACTAAAAACCTAATATAGCTCCTCTAAGGAAGACAGGTTATTTGGGTTTTTATTGGGAGGGTAGGGAGTGGGGTTTGTGTGTGCATGTACACACCAGTACTAGAGCTTGAACTCAGGCCTTCACTTGCTAGCTTGGCTGGGGCTGTACCACTTGATCCATGCCTCCAGCTGACTTTATTTCTGGTTATTTTGGAGTTTCACTGACTTTTCCATCTTGGCTGGTTTCAAACAGATTTTTTTTTTTCTGGGTCTCAGCCTTGTGACTAGCTAGATTTAAATATATGAGGCTCAGACACTTGGCCTCTCCATGTAATTTAAGTAAAACATAGTTTGTGAATTTGCCTCATCTCTTACTTCTTCCTCTCTTCTCTTTTTTTTATATACCAGCTCTTGAACTCAGAGCCTACATACTTTCCCTGAGATTTTTTGCTCAGGAGTAGTGCTCCACTGCTTGTGCCATAGCTCCAGTTTGAGCTCTTAGATGAATAATTGGAGATAGAGTTTCCTTCCTGGGTTGGCTTTGAATCATGATCCAAATCTTAGCTTCCTGGATAGCTAGGATTATAGGCAGTTTCTCTATCATTGCTATACCTCCTAAGATCAAGCTTTGGTCATTTTTTTCTTTAGTCTTTAGTTTTATTTAAATTGTTGTTGTTGTTGTTGTTGTTGTTGTCATCGTCATCGTCGTCATTGTCGTTTTTTGTCCTGGGGATTGAAACCAGGACATGCTAGGCAAGCAGCCTTCCATTTAAGCCACATCTGTCAGCCAAGGTATGTTTGTTAGCTGAGTAAATGTTTTCATGTATTTTTGTTTGTTTTAAGGTGTAATTTATTCCCTTGACAAGGATTGAATCTTTTTCTAGATTAGCAGTGGTTTAATAGCTTGCCCTCTTGATTACATGTATAATTTAATTGTATTTGGTTTTTATTTCTCAAATTATGTAGTTGGAAGGTGCAGCTGAATTTGTCACACTTTTGAGCATATGAAAAAAATGGCTGAGCTAGGCATGATATAATTCCAGCACTAGAGAGGTTAAGGCAGGAGAATTGTGAGTTTGAGGCCAGCCTGTAGTGCATTCAAGGTGAACCAGGGCTACATTGTGAGATCCTGGCAAAATTAAATACATCCCTAGAACAGAAATTCTTACTCTATTCTGTTTACTTATTTCTAGGTTGTTTCTTTTAAACTTGATAGTGAAGAAAATACTTCAGATTCACAAATCAGTGCAACAAATGTAGTGGATCCAGATGGAGGCTTACCAGAAAAGGAAAACTTACCTAAGACAGATGGAGTATTACCAGAAATGGAAAATTTGCCTAAAACATATCCAGCAAAAACAAGAGGAAAGAATTCCTTTGCACCTCAGGATTTTGTGTTTCAGCCTCTAGATGGTCTGAAGACCTATCAAGTAACTCCCTTGACTCCCAGAAGTGCCAGTGCTTTCTTGACACCTAGTTACACCTGGGACCCTTTAAAACCAGAAGGGTAAGAATATGATCTTGAAAAGCCACCACACATAATCCCTCTTACCTGTATAAGAAAG